TTCATCATCAGCAGTTAAATCACACTGGTGATGGATTCTACTATACCCTTCTGACACTGAAGAAGATCTCTTTAAGGAAAACGACCTCTTCACCAATGTCTGAATATATGATTTCTCACCCCCGTCCTCATGGGAAGGGACAGAACAATTTCTGTTCAAGATCTCTCCTATGCCATCCTCACTTTCGTGTTCTGGTATGGAATCCGGCATTCTGGGATTGTTTTTGAGGTTGTTTTGATTGATTTCCAGGAATTTGTGGGTGTTTTTGGCAATGGATCTAGGTGTATGACATGGGAAAGAAAGATTAGAAAGATCTATGGATTTCGATCTTTTTTCACTAACTTGTCTGATTCTTGAGTAAGATCCACTCATTTTTTTCTCTAGAAAATTGTGCATTTAGGATCACTTCAATGGAAATGGGAAAGAAAGAAGACGAGAGAAACTGAAATAAGAAGTGGATCGATTATATATCAAGAAGACCCATAACATGCAAAAGCGATTTGACAGAATATAAAAAGTGATGCCATGTACTGAAGGAGATTGAGACATGCTTGACTTCTTGCTCGAAAGTGTCAGATATTAGTTTAAGGACAAATCTATATGTACATAATTATTGTACATAATGGATTATATAGACCCACGTGGAAGAAATCCGGTCGTGGATGTGAAGTGTGGAAAAGTCAAAAATTGTAGACTACCGATAGATGCGCGCCACATGTCAATTATGTAATATATTATGTAAATGATTATATACTTGTAGCATGATCCTTAGTTTAATTTAGATAAAATTGTTCAATACGGCAATGGTAAACTCAGCTAGCCCAACGTAATAGACATACATTAACTGCATGTTTATTGAACAGAATTGGTCAATGTTACAACGTTCTACAGTAAACCCTTACCAAAAGTACGTTGAACAAAGTACATACCATTTTATTGAGCCCTGCTTGGCCCCGTTATTTGGCATTTTTTATAGTTAAAAATTTTTTGAATAGTAATTGATGGGAGAATGTGTGGTGGAAAAGTAACGAAAAGTTTTAGTTTTGTGCGTAATATTATTTTATTTGATGAATGTGTGATTGTGATGAAAAGAGAGAAAAATTTAATGAATGTAATTTAATTTAATGGGGGCCAAACAGGGGCTGAGTCATATCGTATTTACGATGTCATAAATGTTGTATTTGGATCTGTGGTTTGTCAAATGAATCTTAGAATAGATATAACAATGCCATCATTACTTTTTATAATACTAGATGCAAGCAACGTGCAATGTACTTTTGCCTAGTTTATATTTAATATTTTTGTTTAATAATTAATTTGTTATTAATAAAGATGTAATTTTTTTGGTTAATTAAGTAATTAATGATGTAATGTTTATGTACTTGTTAAATAATTAGATGCGTGATTTTGATGTTGTGAT